ACATGGCTAAAAGCTGCCTGCTAATTAAAAAAAGTGGGGATAATTCAGAATGGACTAGAAGACAATCTCTTGAGTTTCTAAATCCTCCTTCCTTCATGTTTTCCATTTGCTTCATCATGGTAACATTCTGTCACTCTCTTTAAAAAAAGTCTGATTAAAATCAGTATGAATCGGTTCCGAACTTTGCGGCTAGCGATTACTTTGGAAGCTCTGGAAAGACCAGTTAATCCAAATCTTAACAATGAAGTATAACTTTTTTTTCTGAAGTTGATAAAGGGAAAGGGCAAAAATGAAATTTTTTTTAAAAAAATCAGGTTTGTCCAGCAGTCGTAGAAAACAGAATCAAGAAATACTTTTAATTCATGCTTTGTTAAAAATGATGTCACTGTGAAGAATCAGCCCTTTCCTTTGCATCAACGACAAACATGGCTGGATGCTCTGTCTGGACCCTGACTTATAGATTCCCCTCCTTTTTTTTTTTTTTTTTTTTTACCTTTCCTAGACTGGTTAAAAAAAACAACAAGAAAACAGCACTATTTTATAGAAATAAAAAATCATTTTTATGGAAAGAACATAAATAAAAGTGTTATGGAATTTTTTCCCCCTTGGGCTAGAAAGGGAAAGTGGCAGAATTCTTGCCAATGTTACTTTAAAAAAAAAGTCTATTGATCCATCAGTGAAGAGAGAGAGAGAGAGAGGTGTTATTTCATTGTTTCATGAGTTTATTTTCTAAAACAAAAGAAGGAAGGAAGGAAGGAGGGAGGGAGGGAAGGAAGGAAGGAAGGAAGGAAGGAAGGAAGGAAGGAAGGAAGGAAGGAAGGAAGGAAGGGCAATAGCAATAGCACTTAGACTTATATAACGCTTCACAGTGCTTTGCAGCCCTCTCTAAGCAGTTTACAGAGTCAGCCTCTTGCCCCCAACAATCTGGGTCCTCATTTTACCAACCTCAGAAGGATGGAAGGAAGAGTCAACCTTGAGCCAGTGGGAATCGAACTGCTGGCCCACGGCAGAGTTAACCTGCAATACTGCATTTGCAATATAGCAAATAGGGAAATCTTATTTGGGGAGGTATGGATCTCCTGAAGTCTGGAGAACCACAAGATACATGCAGTGAACCTGGGCTACCTAGGGTTCCAAGACTTACATAGAAGAAGGAGCTACTTTACACTCAATGAAGTCATTGCCCTCTACCAACTGCGCTAAAAGTCAAGCTCTGCTTTTGAGTGACATGCCAGTGGCCACGCTCCCCAAAAAATGTGGTGGGGCCATCTGCATTTAATTTAAGAAGCACATTCAGTTAATGAAATCCAGTTAGGATGATTAATACTCGGTTGAATAATATGTTTTCTGTAAGATAAGCAAGTTTTGAAAGAACTCTGAGGTCCTTACCAATGTTTTCAGCAAACAGGCATAATCTTGGGGACTCAGGACATGCTTAGCCTACTGCTGTTTATACAGTAGAGGCACTTTTTTTGGAGTTGAATTGTTTCCCACACTCTGCACTGCTGCTGTACAAAAGCCTAGGTTGGATATCAGAACAGAATACAGGTAGTCCTTGACTTATGGCCACAATTGAGTTCCAAAATTTCTGTTGTTAAGTGAGACATTTGTTAAGTGAGTTTTGCTCCATTTTATGATATTTCTTGTCACATTTGTTAAGCGAATCTGGGTTCCCCGTTGACTTTGCTTGTCAGAAGATTGCAAAAGGTGATTACATGACCCCCCCAGGACATTGCAACGGTCATAAATATGAACCAGTTGCCAAACATCTGAATTTTGATCACTTGTCCATGGGGATGCTGCAAAGGTCGTAACTATGGAAAATGGTCATAAGCAGTGGTGGGATTCAGCCAGTTTGCACCACTTCGGCAGAACCGGTAGCTAATCTTTTGTTGCCCAAGCCCAGAATGGACTTCTAGAAGCAGCATCCATGTAGAGAACTGGTTGTTCACATATCTGAATCCCCCCACCACTGGTCATAAGTCACTTTTTCCAGCATGGTTGTAACTTTGAACGGTCACTAAATGAACTGAAACAGAGTAACAGAGCTGAAAGGGAACTTGGAGGTCTTCTAGTCCAACTCCCTACCAGACTAATGATTGTTCAATCTCTTCTTACTCTGGACCACTTTTGCATCTATTTAAAGAGTCTGCATAAGCATCATATTTGAATGTACAAAGAATCATGTCTTCTCAGATAGGCCTTTCATATAGGCTTTCCTAAATGGATGCATGCCCACTATTAAAGGCGTTTTATGAAAGGCCAATCCACTCTTTTCTTGCCCCCCTCCCACCTATGTTTTTGAAAGCGAGACCATAATATGTTCTCAGAAACTCCAAGTAGGTGCTGAACTCAAAATGGTTGATCTAAAAACATGAATTTGGGGTTGTTGTTGTTGTTGTTGTTGTTTTCCCTTCCTGATTGATCACCATCTCCCAGTGCTTTCTGCTAGCCGGTAAATGGCTAACATTCCGTAAATATGTTGTTTCCTATTATTAGGAGAAAATTGAGGCTATTTTGGATATCCTCTGTGCAATTCATCTGGATGGTTGGCTTCGGAAATTTGAGCGCCTTTAACAGAGCAGGGAGAGCTGTTTGAAAGCAAACACTTCAATTTTTGACTTCAGGATAAATAGCAGAGCTGTTGGATTCATCTTTTGTCTTGTTTCAGTTATGTTGGCAAGAATGTGGAAGCCTTCTCCCACAAAATAACCTTTCAAGAAACACCACCTAGCCAGCAAACAGACACATCCAAAGCAGAACTAATTAAGATCAAGTCATTGCTCAATAAATATGCAAATGACAAATGAAAAGAAGGAATTTTATTTATCACATCCTAAAGCTGCAGATTGCTGTGAGACTACTACTATAAACCACACTAGACAGGAGTTACAGGATATTAGATTTAAATGTGCAGGTCAGCTAACCTCTGCATAATGATGCATTGATGACACAGAATAATATATTAGAATGGAGTTCCAGCTTTCTTGTTTTTTTCCAATGGTGACAGAGGGGGTTTTTGGGGAAGGGAGGGAGATAGACTCATTTGTGACAAACTTTCTACTTTTCTTTCATAATTCTGAGGAAGTGAAATTGCTCAGGAGAAGAAGGTGAAATATCTGTCTATGGCAGGGGTCTTCAGACTTGGCCCTTTTATGACTTGTGGACTTCAACTCCCAGAATTCCTCAGTCAGCATGCCTGGCTGACGAATTCTGGGAGTTGAAGTCCACAAGTCATAAAAGGGCCAAGTTTGAAGACCCCTGGTCTATGGAGATATCTATAGTCATCCAGGTCATGGTTGTCCCAAAGGTGCTTTTTCAAGAGGCAACTGGATTTTCTTTGTTTTTCCTTGAAGAAAAACATCTTCTCACTAAAACATCTCAACATCTTCTCACTAAAGCTGACTCTTAGGGACTAGAGGTATGTTGAGGATTGCATGGGTCAGATGAGACGAAGTTCAACATGGCAAAAGCATCACTAATAGAAAATTAGTGGTATCGTGTGAGTTTAGACAACAACAATATGTACTTGGGCATTGATAAAGAGCTAAATAATTTTAACCGATTTATATTTCACTTTTCCTCCAGATGTTTAAGACAGCACGCACCACATTTTGTCTTCAAATTTTCTTCCACGTGCTATAAACTGTTGCCATAGCAAAGGATTTTTCTGCATATTCTCCACCATTTAGTCAATGTGACAAAAAGGAGCTTTTGTTTTCAAATTGTACTATGAAGGGAGGAAAGCTTGTTGGTGAAAACCCAAAGGTGCTTTTTCAAAAGGCAACTGGAGTTTTTATTTCCTTGAAGATGTTTTTGCTTCTCATTGTTTGGCTTCAGCTCTAAAGAAACTTCTTGGATGAAATGGATGAAATGTCTTCAAGGAAAAACAAAGTCCAGTTGCCTCTTGAAAAAAGCACCTTTGAGACAACAGGATGACTGAGAATCTCTGAAGACTGTCAACACTGCAAATACTGTATATTCCTGCTTTGACAAAATATGCAAAACTGTCTGGTATTTTTAGAGTTAATGCAGAGCAGAGGAGGGAGGAGGGAAAAGCCCGTGAAAACAGAAAGGAAGGGAACCTTTGCCCTTTACACTAATTGGTGAACGTAAATCATGACAGCAAAATAGGGAGTGGAAATGCTAGCAAAATAACTGCTCAGTGAGTGGGGATTTTAGATCTTAGCATACTTTCATTATGCCGTACTGACATTTTGTAACATAATAAATGACTTTTAGGAAAATGAATGCCTGGAAGTTCTTTGAAGTGTTTCATTAGCCGGAACCATAACATAGACATTTGTTGGTGAAATGCTCAGAACTGGAGTGTTAGGCGCTAACCAAAAGATGGGTGCATGGGTGTCCTGCCTTCATTGTATAGTCCTCTCTCTACCAAGCTGAGGACTCCATGAATGTCCTTCCTTCCTAAGAGAAGATGTTATGATGGAGAACTCCACCCATGATTGTGGATAGTCAAAGAAGGTTCCAAGGGAAGAAAACAGATAGAACAACAGAAACCTAGCAATTCTTCTACCTCCAATAAGAGAATAAGCCTTTAAAAAAAATCAAAAGAGAAATTGAAAAGATGTTCTCAAACGTTTTGAGAAGGAGAGAGCAAATAGAAGGTTTTGAGGTTGCTTTGTTCTTTGGCAGGGGAAGGAAACATTTTTCAAATTTCAGACAGAATTCAGAACCACATTTGTATAAACCTCTCACAATATGCCTTAACTTCAAGTCTAGTACTACCAGAAGTAGGTCATTAGTTCGTGTGTGTGTGTGTGTGTGTGTTGCTTTAAAAAGTAAAACTGGGATCGACTGTTGCTGTCTTCGATGTCATTATACTAATCTTCTCCTTATCCACTGAGCTTAGAATTTGCAATATGTGTTTGGATGCTTTACGAGATGAGGCTGAACCTCTCTCTCTCTTTTTTTTTTTTTGCTTCCTTCTCCATCCAATTCAATATTCTGTTTTCTTTCTGTGTGTGAATCTCTGGCAGAAGCAACAACAACTGCAGCCTGGAGACCGATGACGAACTTCCCTGTGGGGATGAAGTGGATTATAACACTGATAGCTGCTCTGATCAAGAAGCAGACTTTCTGGACACGGACAGAGAAATCCAAGAATCTCCTTTAACGGGTTGAAGGTATGGACACAAAAGCAGAGGCCAACCTAGGTAGATGGATACTCCTTTCTCCCAGCTATGAAGAAGACTTCTGTTTCTAACCAGTGAGCAGCCAGACTCCATCCTGTCCTACCACTGTACTCTTGGCCTTTGGTGGAAGCAGAGAAGAGGATGGAACCCAGGAAAGAAGAAGCAAGTCATCACTTCCTCTGCTACTCTACTAGTGACAATGATAGCAATCATTCCTGTTGCTCTTCAGAACAGATCCCCCCCCACTTTTTCCCCTTTCTTTTTCCTGTTAATATTGTGATGTCGTGGAAGGAGAAGGTGGGCGAGTGCTTTGTTCTGGGCCAACTAGACCTCTGTGTAAATTACATTTCAAAATGACCTTTGCTGAGATCAAAAAGTTTTGGCAGGACGTGATTGTTGCATCAGGTCCTTTCAAGGATAGGTCAAACGCTTTAATCATTTCTCAGCAGTTTGGCCTGCATTTGTCCCACTTAGTGGTATGTTCTTCCTCGGCCATTGCAAATTCTGCCAACAACTAATGGGACAATAATGCTAAACATCTGGAGGGGGGAATGTGTCAGAGAGTATTTCTCAAAGGGTTTTTTTATTTTTATGAGGAGTGAAAGGAAGGGAAACAGATTCTTAGTCATGAGTCTTCTTCATAGCAGATGTTCCACGATAAAAGAAATGCTTTGGTTGCAAAAAGGTCCCAGTTCAATCTCTGCCATTTTCTGGTAGGGCTAGACAAAGTTCCGGCTGGACAACTGTCACACTTTCCTTTGTCTCAATAATTTTGGTTTTCATAGATGTTTGGGGTAAAATATACATTTCAACTTTTTCAGCTTTTTCCTCACATTTTCTTTTCTGTAAAGAACTTCACTGTTCAACATCTCCAGTTGGTTTAGAAAATACACAAACTCTCCCATTAATGTTCACGGGGCTCTTCTTACTTCCATTGTGTTATTCTGGTGTTTCATGGTATTTTGTCAGGATTTTCAAGTTATAGCTGTCAGGACCTGTCAAGAATCAGGACCATATATTGAGTTTCAGTTAAGATCAGTGGTGGGATTCAATCGGTTTGCACCATTTGGCAGAACCGGTAGCTAATTTTTTGTTGCCCAGGCACAGAATGGACGTCCAGAAGCGGCATCCACACTGAGGATGGTTGTTCACATATTTGAATCCCACCACTGGTTAAGAAGATTTATTGCTCATGCCTATACACAAGAATGTAATCGACTAAGGTCAGCACTAAATTGGTGCTAGATAAGAGTTAATGGAATTCAAGAGGAGTTGAACATTTGTGGGAATGTAATGATGCCAGGCTGATTCCTCTCTTGACTCTGTCCCCTTGCTCTCCCTATATCTCAAGGCTGAGTCTGAAAAGGGAAGGACACATGGATAATAATACTAGAAAGTGAGGCGGAATTCATTTTTTTGCCAGCCCCTTGCCGCACAAACACAAGCACACACCTGACTTGGAACATAGTTTAGAATATAATGAAGGTATTTATTGCAGAGTATTAACAAGCCATACGTCCCATAAAGTTCTGTATCTGGCTGTACTGTATGTAGGAAACCTGACCGACAGATACATCACTCTCCAAATCTGAATCTTGGTTCTTTTCCTTTTTTCACTTTGAATCAATAGTCATCTATCTGCTTGTTTCTCAGCCTTGAAGGTCCCATGGTTGCAGAGATTCCCACATCACCCGCTTCCACCCTTAGGCATCTAAAGGGAATTTAGAAGCGTTTGATTGAAAGTACAGATAGATTTCGTCCTGTGATCCCTGACTGGCTGGGATTGCACCTGCTGGGAAATGGAAAGGAAAAGGTTAAATCTGAGGGTGGTGCTGCACACCAGCAGTGAAAAGACAAGTTTCTTTGCCTCTGTTTATCCATCCCTCCCTCTTCCCTCCCTCTCTTTGTGTTCCATAAGGGATTTTCCTGCTTACCAAGTTTTCTGGTTGTGGCTCACATTAAGATATAAGTGCCACAGCCCAAAAGAATGTCGAAAGAAATTCATCATATTTCACCTAAATAAAATTCAAAGGGGATTAGAGCATTAATCCATTTAGCCTGTTCTATCTGGAAACAGCTGTCTGAAGGATAAGGAACTTCCTCTCCCTCTATCCTTTTTTTTTTTTCCTGTTAAGGACTGCATTCCCTTAAACATCATCTCTGGGATTTATGTGCCAAGAGTTTGCAGAACTGGCATGAAAAGCAGCTAAAATGTTAGTGAACTTTTCCGACTCTATCTGTTGGGTGTACCATCTCATCTCTGTGCATGCAAACCCATCTCCTTTACCACTTATTCTTGAATGACAGTTTTCCAGCAACACCACTCGTGGGAGATGCTGAAGGGCTATAGTTTACACTATCCACAGAAGCACACGTTCCCTAACCCCTGCTTTCTGGAAGCTAAGCAGATCTTCCCTCATTCAGGCCTGAAAGGCAGGATATCTGTGGACTTCAGGAACAGTGCTGAGTTCCAAATTGAAAGGAAGGTGGGAAATCAATTTAATGAATGAACGTTTATTCCTAGAAATTCCACAGATTGGTTCTGAAGGGCCCCTCCAATAGCTGATGGTTGCAGCTTGCAATTGTAAGCCATTATAACTGCATCACGCAATTATAACCATCATGCAGTACTTTGCCATGAAGTCAACTCAGGAATTCATCTGCCCAATCTATCAAACGTATGATCAGATGCTCAGAAACAGTATGATTTTCCTGAACTGTAATTGAAAGGTGGTGACTTGTTTTCAAGGGGCAGCCTTTTCTGATCTTAGATGAATTCTGAAGTCTTTATTATGCGATCGGAACAAACTGCAGAGATAATAATAATAATAATAATAATAATAATAATAATAATAATAATAATAATAATAATAGCAAAAGGAGGCCTTACTAGTTACTGCTTCCATCCTGTGACGATATCTGTAATAGCATCAAACATCCACATCTGCCTATCCCAGGTCCTGGGTAAGGACTAGAAAATGTCAAATCCAGTCTGAACATCTGGCTGACTGTGTGATGATCCATAATAATAATAAAGTTGGAAGGGACCTTGGAGGTCATCAAGTCCAACCCCCTGTTCATGCAGGAATCCTACACTATTTCAGACAAATGGCTGTCCAGTCTCTTCTTAAAAACTTCCAATGTTGGAGCATTCACCGCTTCTGGAGGCAGGTTGTTCCATTGGATCAGTTTCCATCCATTGCTTCTCATCCTGCCTTCAGGCGCCATGGAGAATAGCTTGACTCCCTCTTCTTTATGGCAGCCCCTGAGATATTAGAACACTGCTATCATGTCCCCCTTCGTTTTTCTCTTCATTAAACTAGACATACCCAATTCCAGCAACCGGTCCTTATATGTTTTATTCTCCAGTCCCCTAATCATCCTTGTTGCTCTTCTCTGTACTCTTTCTAGAGTCTCAGCATCTTTTTTACATTGTGGTGACCAAAATTGGATGCAGTATTCCAAGTGTGGCCTTACCAAGGCATTGTAAAGTGGTATTAATACTTCATGTGATCTTGATTCTATTTCTCTGTTAATGCAGCCTAGCACTGTGTTGGCTTTTTTGGCAGCTGCAGCACACGGCTGGCTCGTATTTAAGTGATTGTCCAGTAAGACTCTGAGATCCCTCTCACAGTTACTACTATTGAGCAAGGTACCCCCTATACTATACCTGTACATTTAGTTTTTCTTGCCTAAATGTAGAACCTTACTTTTTTCACCACTGAATTTCATTTTGTTAGATAGCGCCCAGTGTTCAAGTAATAGTCACCTTACAAGGCTAACATCCACCTTAAGTAAAAATGGCTTTGCTTGCTATATTTTCAATTGTTTGACACTATGTTGAAACGTTGAAAATGCATTGCCACACTACTTTACATTCTCCTCACCTCCCTTTTCAATCAAGCAGGGCTTCCAAAGGTATCTCACAGTTAAACATTGCCCGTCAATTTTACATCAGCTTTTTTAAACTTTTCCTCCGGATGAGTTGGATCTATCAAAACTGCTGTCCAGACTTGGGTCATTGGGCCATTCTTCTTTGAAGGAGATGCCCATTCCAACCTTTGCTGTTTGGGTTCCTTTTATTAAAAGTGACCCGAGCTAAATCTGTTTCTTTTCCCATGTTAATAAGACTAGGAGTCAACGGCTGCAGCCTGCTGTGATCTGAAATCTCTGCCTCCTTGCTCTCCTTAATATATTAGCAATCCTGTGGCTGGCTGGATATGTGGCAAGCAATAACCTTTTTGCAGCTGAAAGCTGTTTCCTTTGATGCCTTGCAGAGCTTTGGGTGAGTTTGAAGCACAAAATAAATAATTAAGAAGGGAAAAGAGAAAAAGAGAAAGAAGAAGAAGAAAAGGATGTGGGAGAGCATGAGGGGAAGGAGGGAGGGAGGGAGGGAGGAGGGAGAGGGGCCGTGAAGATATTCATATCCTTGGTATGACCTTGAGAACTGCATTGGTGAATTAGTGCTATAAGTTCCCAAGTCATTTTTTGATGTACTAACTCAGTAACAACCTATTATTTCCCTTCTGAACTATCCATGCTTGCTGGAAATTAATAGATGCAACACAAAGGTAATAATTCTCCCTTGCCCTGTAGTAAGGATCTTCTACATAATACATAATGGAAGAAGTCTAATATTCTAAAGAGCTTCTCAGTTAAAACTTGGGGCACTTCCTTAGGGACATAATAACATGCATTGCTTCCATTCTGGAGCTGGCAGAGAAAAAAAAAATCACATGTTGACTTGTTCCAATAGAAGCTAGGGTTGAACTGTGGAGTCCTTGGTGTTCTCGGAGCTTGGTTGTTTGTTTGCAGACATTTCATTACCAAACTAGGTAAATTATTAGTATTGTACTGATGATCTGCAGGAGAAGGTTCTGCTGTAGAAGATCCTTGAAAAAAAACTGACCGGTTGATTCCCTGGTGAACTAAAATTGAACCAAAACTGCATTTGTCACTCTTGGGAATGACCACTGGGATCTGAATGGAAGGATTGCAATTTCCCTGGTCCTCTTTCATTACTTCCCAAGTGGAAAGTTCTAGTTATTATTAGTAAGAAAGAAGTCTGGTTACTCCAACATGGGACACTGCATACTTCAGCACTCTCCATATTATCTCACAAATGGCACGTTATTTATTTGTTTATTCAGTGATTGCTATCTCAGGCTTGGCAAAAGATGCAGTGAATGTTTTCTCTAATTGCGCAGAGGCTTCCAGAAACTGGATAAAACAAAGGAAGTTGAAACTGAAGCTCAGCAAGACTGGATCACTGTTTACCTAGAAGCCTTTGGATTCTCTGGTGACCTCTTCCCTTGATCTGGAGGGAATCCTGTTCCCTGGAGGAGCGGGTCCAGGATCAGTAGCTTCTTCAGGACTTAACAACAACTACTACTATAACAATAGGTGACTCTGTGGCCAGGAGGCCTTTACCTTGCTGTGCCTAGTGGCACAGTTGAAGTACCAAATTGAGGTGGAAAGCCTTAGGAATGGTAACTCATGCCCTCATTGTGTCTCATTTAGGTTACTGCAAATGCTTTATTTGGGGCTCCCCTTGAAGATTGTTGGCCCAAAATACAGGAACTTGCAGACTAATAGGTAAGCACTATGGAACAAGGTGACATCTTTATTGGGATGCTGCACTGGCTTCTAGTTTGTGTGTAAAATTTAAGATGCTAGTTAGTCGAAGCCTAAAGGGCTTAGACACAGGATAATTGAGTTAATTGTCTTTTCTGGAAGGGGTCTACCCTTTCTGTTCAATTGGCAGAGGAATGGATACTGTGAGTTCACCTTCGGTCAATCTCTTAAAGTAGTCCAGACAAAAAACACACCCCAAAGTACTAGCTCCTACTTTATTGCAAAGTTACATTAAGGCATTCTTGCAAATCTGAAACTATCTCTCTTACTGCCTCCCCTCCCAGCTTTACAGCTCAAGAAACTGGGGAGGGTTCCTTCAGAGACATTTTGTACACACCCATTCCTTCTGCAGATTCAGCTACCACTTGTCTGACCATTGTCTCTGTGGCTCTTCCTGTTGTTGTCTCCAAAGGTCATTCTCACATACCATTTCAATCTCTGCCAAAAAATTAAAAGATAAATTCAGGAGCAAGTTATTTGGGTGAAGGCTCCTGTTCTTTGGAACATCCTACTGGCTCA